GATATGTTGGCTTGCCGTCAGGATTAGCCCAACTAGGCCCCAGAAAATCTTTGGGTCAAGCTCAGGACCGATTTTGGTGGAAAAGTAATCACTGAAGCTTCTCAGGTATACAAGTCGTGGCTCGAGCATGCCAAGATCTGGATGAGTGTCATCCAGCCCCTCAAGAAAGTCCTCTTTGATATCGTCATAATTCCTGAAAATCTTGATTGTCCGACGATCGTTTGGTTCCATGCGCTCGGTTCCTGATTTCGAGGTAGATGACCATTGCCGGGCAAAGTGTGCTTCCCTAGAATGTAGTCAGAGTCTAAAACATCGACAGATACCGTATAGAAACTAACATACATCTCTGATTGCTCCATGTTGAATGATGGCTCCGTAGCTTCTCAATGAGTTTTAGGTTACTTCCCCAGGAATGGGGCTAACAAATGGAAACAAGGGACAAAAAGCTCTCGCTCATGTGTGGGTTACAGTTCTACATATGCTCCTTTACAATTTCTCGAATGCGGCGCATCCACGTCGACATGCAAAGGCCCGGCAAGAATTTGATTTGTGATACACTACAGACCTCTATTTATCTCATGTAACCATGTATCCTCAGTCAACGGCTGCAAAACCTAGCTAGCCACTTGCACCAGTATGTTGGAACCCATAGTCAAGCTCCTTACACCCTACAGCTCTGTGCCCAACGAGTCTCCAAATGCTCTCGGTGCGTCAGTGTGTTCTCCATATAACCAAGAAAAAAACGAAAAAGCCTCTGAGCCCAGAATTCTATTGTCAATACGCCTGAGATGAAGCCTTGATGTTGTAGGTACGAACGGACAGGTGCGACTTTGGTCGCTGCCGAAGAAAGAGTGCGGGGCTTACGTCCTGCGGATGCAGGCTGTCGTGCATTGCCAAGGTTGGCGCCAAATGACATTCCTCTTTCAGCCAAGGGAGATTTTGATAGGATAGCTTGATCTCGTCTACAACAGCTCATGCTACTTCAGTTGTAGGGTGGTGTAGAGCTCGTTGCCCGGTGTGAGCGCTCTCGCACAGCCTGCTTCTGATGTGCTGTATCGGAGCAACCTTGCGAGGATAAAGTCTGACGCATATTGAGCATTGGTATACAGTCGATCAAACATATCATAGTTTTCATTGTCTCATGACCACATTATGTACGCTCATTTGTAGGATTGAGCGCCACAGTTGTTGCCTCGATGACTGAATGATGAGCGAGTGCCCAAGATGCCTTGGGAATTCTTGGCACTGAGGTCGATGAAAATTGATTGGAATACTTAAGATTCTGTGACACCCTGAGTTCATACTTCATAAGCCTCAGAGGCAAGGAAGTTTCATATGCTCGTTGCTGTCTGCTGCTCTCTATCCAGCTGCGGCTGCCTGTGTCGCGTGGACGGCTGAGATCGCCCGGCTACCCGAGTAAAGTAAGCGCCCACTTCTTGGCACATGTAATCCAGTTCTCGGGGCAGAATCAACGCTTAGATTATGTTGGAATTGGTCGAATAACTGGCTTGTTTCCCTCGTCTCCAGACTTCTCGGTCTTAGCCGGTCAGAAGGAAGTGGTATATAATCATAGGTATGGAGTGACGTCTTAAATCACGTCTTCGGGCCATGGTACCTGAATTATACATCACTTTAAACCAAAGATGCAATAATCGACAAGGCTAGAAGTCCTCTGCAGCGCGTGACGCAATTTTCCAGTTGTATCACAGGTGGACACCGCGGCAAGGAACAAGATGTATGCATTAGCCTTGGACTTTGTTTGGTGCGCGAGTAACTGATAACAAATAGGAAGAAGCTGGGGAAGAAATCTTTTCTCCGGAGGATACTACCAAACACTGGACCGAAAACAGAAGTCGACTTGGAGACACAGGTCCAAGATCCCAACGGACCGGAAGCATCGCCCTCGTCAACATTTCGTTCCCAAACCTTACAGGCCATCTTTGGCCTTTCAGGGGAAGAAATTAAGAGGTTTCCCAGTATTCAGGCTTACTGCGATCACATCGAGTCCCAAGTCATACCCCTTACGAACTCCGGATTCTCGCCCATATGGCCGTCTTTATCCAATTCAACTGCAGGCACAATAACAGACTGTTGGAAGTTTCTGCATGCAGTAGCTTATAACTTCAAGTCAGCAGAGAAGGACGCCAGCATTGAGGATCTAAAAAACCATGTGTTATCTTCAGGAGAGAATGTGAGAGAGTCTTCGGACCCTCTCCTTCTGGCGGCCGTCTTCGCTGCCGTATGCTTGTTGACCATGACTCTTCAGCCGTCGTTGGATTTCGAACTTTTTGGGGGCCAGATCTGCCTCGCTTGTAGATTTCCAAGCCTTACTGACGAGTCGAGTCCGCATGGTCAAATCGCCAGGCAGAACTTGAGGGAGGCAAAGCGGCCGATCAAACGAGTTTTTGAGTTATTCGAACACAGCGCGTGGGATGATCAACCGACAAACATAGATCATTCGACAGGGGAACATGATAGTCTATACGAAGGGAGTCTGAATCTTGAGGTTCTGTTATTCGGACGTATTAGAATCCAGTGGGTGGACACGCTGAGTGAACATCTCAAGTTCGACCTGGTCAGCCGGCGTCTTTCAATTTTCCGCCTCCCGACATTCTGCGTCTTGTCTGCACTGCGAAAGGAGGGGAAAGAGACAACTCCCCTACTCGACAGGTAAGTAATCCTTGATGGATTCAAGTATCTAATTGCCTTTCTGATAAGGTGATGTACAGCATCAATGAAGGCTTCATGCCGACTGCTCCAGAAAATCGATACCAAAACTACGTCACCTTGGAACAAGAAATCCTGGTCTCCTACCGCATCCTCTTCGGACAGAGCGCTCGCTCGAGGAAGCTCATCAGGTCGGATCTCCAAAAGCTCGAGAAGAGCGGCCAACCGTTCGACAACCTGCTCTATACCCTCTGCGGTCCCAAGAAGGAGGTCGACAAACTGCCGCGCAGGATCTGGCCGGTGGGATGTAGGGACTTTGAGCAGGAGAAGCTCCTGGAGAGCGACGTCTACAGCGCCCAGAGCGACTTCCCGCGGCTGGGCTATCGCCTGATCAACCTCCAGAGATTCAGCTTGCGCCAAAAGCCTCGCCGGTTGACGGACCTGTGGAGGGACCGCAGGAATCCGCTGCAGTGGTATACGTTTTGGGCGGTCCTGTGGGTTGGGGGAGCTGGGATTATATTGGCCATCATACAAACGGTCCTTGCGGGGGTTCAAGTTGCCAGGTCATGAAGGGCTGCATGTCACGATCCTTGGGCTAGGAAAGTGATTGCGCCCTTGATATTACTCGATGGAAGTTTTTCAGGCAACGATGGGGAGGATGAATTAAACGAGAAGAATTTCCTGATCTGGACTATGTTGCTCAGCCTGGGAAACAAATCTTCGCAAGGAGCTTGGAAATCAGGATGACTTATGGGCAAAGTTTTGAAAAGCCTCGTGTGGCTTTATCGACCATTGGGTGTTCACTGGTCAGATGACTTCGAAACTCGGACCATCAAAATCAGAATTGGAGTCAGACATCCCTCCATTCCTCGGCACTTCTCAGACTTCAAACCACCGCGATAATGTGAATGTCTCTCGTAGTAGGTAGGCACTGCCGACTCAAGGGAGTCTAATGAAGCTTATTCTGACTCGCGCTGGCCACCCCCTTTGCCTAACAGCCACTTGGGTACAGCACCCAGAGATCTGGGTCAAGGACCGTGACGCCCACCACCACGTTTATTCCTACAAGATTTGCGGGCAATTTCTGAAAGCTACGTATGTAACCAACACGCGTGCACACACACACACACACACACACACACACACACACACACACACATGCCTATATTGACAGAATGTGGAAGGCGGCGGCGGGAGGATGAAATGATGAGACTCTTGACTCGTGAGTAAATCGACTGTTCTGGCCCATGAGCTGGCTGGCTCTGAACAATATCACCAAAGTCGCCTCAACATACACGGTACGGAAGGGGGTTCTATTGACTGATTTGTTTCCTATGGCACGGCTTGGCTGCTAGATTGTAGTGAATGAATCCCCTAAAAAGTACGTGTCGTGATGGCCCTTTGAATCTCCGTGTCATGTAAGACACTGGGAAATTCGTCATATCCCTGTGTAACCGTGGCAAGGGGGGCTGTATCGAATCCGGCGTCTTGCTTGAGCAAGAACAGCTGAAGATGTGACCCTGATCGTCAATGATGTCTCTGGCGCTCTCTCACCCCAGATCTAGATAGACACCCCCAGATCTTGATGATTCAGAACGCGGAGGTTCAAGCCCCGCACCACTGGTCAGTCATCCGGGTTACTATGTCGGCTCGTGAGGAGGGGTTGGCGTGGAGGACACCCCTCCTCCCAACTTGACCCAGTCATCAGCACGCATGGTCTACAGGCAGATCTTTCGCAGTAAGTCGAATCATTACGGGCCTTCGACCCTAAGTGGTATCATTTCGATCATAACTCGTAAAACTATTGCTTCGGGTACAAATACACATTTACAGGTTTCGCAGGCCCCTCGGACGTATCCGACGCATCAGAACCAACGAGCGGCCACTCGTCGTCCTCGGCGACCTTTCTCGACCCGTCCATATTCAACTCTCTCAGCTGAATGCCGTTCCCGTCGGCCGTGGGCGTGTACAAGCCGGCGTCGTCCGCGACGTACGGCGTCAAGGAGATCCGCGGCGGATACGTCAGGCTCCTGCCCCTTCCCCCCATCCTCGAAGAAGAAAACGCTTGCGACATTCGGGTGCGGGTGTTGCGTCGCTGTTGATTGCTGCTCATCCTCCTGCTATTCCTCTCGCGGAGCCGCCTCGGAACGAGCCGTGCCACCAGGTAATCTCGAAACGTCTTGGTCGTGCCAAAAACGACAAACGTCAGCAGGCTAGCGGACACGCCGGGCAGAAAAAGTATGAGGTCCAGATGCAGTCGTTCCGTGCTGAGGTCCGGGCTCTCGCTCAACGAGTCGCGAGAATTTTGTTTCGCGGATGAAACTTGAAACATAATGGTCACCACCTGAAAGATGCTTTTCGAAGAAGAACGAAAAACCACCCGGTTAGCTTCGTTGGCCCATACTACAGACTTTGAGGCTTGGGGGAAAGTCCCCATTTGAGGCTGTACTCACGCTAACGCAACGAAGGCTATGCTGAATCGCACAACAAGCCATCGATCATAGATACTTCGGCGGCGTGTTTCGCTTCCGCTGTCGAAGACGAGCGTGTCGCTGCTTTTCGTGCTGTTGGAGCGTTGACCATATCGAACGTTCCAAGAAAGAAGGTTTCGGCGGGTGTGGATGTATTTGACCAATATGACAATGAGGAGAACTCCGCTGCCACTCAGACAGAAACCCACTAGGAAAGGGGTTAGATGAAGTGAATGTACAACGGGGCATGGGAACTTACTGATACCATCAGCCAACACTAGAAAGGGCACTGTCTGCTTCTGAACAGCCTCGAGTCGTAGGATCCCCATCAAAATTGCGGGTAGCAAGATAGCAATAGCTTTTGCGACGTAATTGACTCGTTTGCGTGTGGATCTTACAGGTTCCAATTGGAAGATCGATTGCGTGAGAGCGACAGCCCAAAAGAAAGTCAGGGCTGCCTCAACATTGTAGCTGTAAAATTCTGCGCGAGATTGTCAGAGAAAGACTTGGAATGCGTTGACGGGTTGGGTCTTACGGATATAGAAAAGCACTAGGTCCAAGCCAGTTGACTGGCCGGCGATGGCAAGCTCAGGATTGCCGACGTTGGCGTTTGAATGCTTGAATTGTGCAAGCTTGATGTCTCTCCATCGTACAATTGTGTGAATCTGCTGGGCTACAGAAGCAGCCGTCGACAAACCAGTGAAGTATGATACTAGGGCGACATCTGTTCACAAGAACGCACGTAAGTATTCTGAATCACCTCCTGAATCCAAAAACCATAGCTACTCACAGCTAAGACCTTCACGATGGGCATACACCAGCCATGCCATGAGAACACTGCATGCTAGGCAGAACAAGGAGTAAGAGAGTACTCCTATAGCTGTGCCCAGCTCTTCTTGAGGCAGCTGAATGGCCATATCACCCCTTTGGATGTTGACCCAGCAGGCCAGACATGAATACGGAGCTGTTGACCGCAGGCAGGGAACAAGGTGACGGGGGACGAGGAGAAAGAAGAAATTAAGAACTGGGGAGCAAGCAACGGCATGGCCATGTTTATCATGCGGCCCTGAGATCGATCCGCCCCCTGCGATCGACGCAAGGTTGTCTCCCCGGACCCGACTGAAGAGTAATGGAAAGGGAACCCAAGATCGGTCGGTTTGGACAGAGGCGCCGACGAACCTTGTTCGGTGCTCGCAACAATATGAGGTGTGCTACGCAGGCGCAGGCGGTAAAATGACGAGATGGGACTTCCCAGCATTCCAGAGACAGGGCAAGGGAGTTTGGGCCGACTTGAGAACCGCAAGCCCCCCCCTACAGCGTATAGCCGGCAGACTAGAGATGTCTTGGCTGGGGATCCTACGAGGGGGTGGTGGCGGGGCCGCTCGGGATGGCAATGAAGAGTTTTACCTTGTTGTAGGGTGGATAATAAAGGTTGAAACACGATAGTGTACGAAGACGATCTCCAGAACAATATTACACCCAGGCATTGCCAGGTCGAAATGGCTTCGGAGGCTGTCCATCTGGATATGTCATGGCGAGACAGATTGACATTGTGACGGCATTCTAGCTGGCTTCTGGGTGCGATTCTGGCGGCATCTGCCGACCACAGACTCGGTGGCTGCTTGACCCGAGATGAAAACGTTGGACGCCACGCTCCGTCTAATAGAAGACATCACTAGTTTGCGTGGGTTAGGCCGAAGCAGCAGTGCGCAAGCGTCGTCGCAACTGCTGCGGAATACAAGTCCATAGGCCGACCAAGTGTCAAACTAAAGGCTGCTAGAGGGTAAGTGGCATGGCAACGTACGAGTTCGACCGAACTCTCCGCCTCCCACGTTGAGACCAACCACGATTGTCGCTGGGGTTTGAGGCAACGATGGCTCGAAACATGTCTGGTAAGTGGAGGCGCGTCCTCGAGGCAAGATTCGTTGCCAACTGAGGGTGTGTGGACGGACGGACGTTGCGGAGGGGTCTCCCGGACCAGCCTCAACCCGGCAGAGGCGACCGGGCCGATGGGAGGCAACACACTGCATATGGCAACCTCGAATAATGCGATGTCATTGGGATTGATTGAAGGCTGCGCTGTTGGCGACAACACATTCGAGTCAGTCGGTGGCTGAGAATACATTTTCCATCTTCTGGAAGACGATTCCCCCTTAACGAAAGGTCCGAACATGTCAGAGTTTCGACCAGTTCGATACGATGCTCATCATATCATCTCATTGTTGAGCTGAGTTCGATGGCAGGGGAGCATGCCGCCTACCGAGTGCTCGGTGCTTGGGCTCAAAAAGGGACAGGGTGAATCCATGAAGTTGATTGGGGCTAGTGGTTTTGTATTAACCTTGGTCCTCCTGAGTCAGAAATGGACACGAAATAGGCCTTACACCACTGCCCAATCTAGCCCGAGCGACGGACGTGGCTTCGGGTGTTGGACCCAAGAAGGCAAGCAGCGAAATCCTAGTGCTAGACCAAAAAGCAGGTTTAGTCGCGGAGGCGCAGATTGTTGAGATGAAAGGCCGACGGCGTGTGGTGTCAATCCTGCCATTCCTGCTAGATGGAAGGTTGCTGAACGTCTGCCGCGCGATGCAATCTTGGATCTAAGGCATATCGAGTCTGCGTAACGGTCGGACCACTCCCACGTGCTGATGAGTGAGCCGGCTCCAATAAAGAGCGAGTACGAGGTCGTCGAGATTGTATTAAAGCTGAACCTTGGAGGGAGCCCGGCGGGTGTGAGTATGATCGGCAGTCACAGCAAAGTGCCGTGTCGTCGGCATGTGGCGTCTTCGTCTTGTAAGCTTGTGAGAGAGAACAAGGTTCGTTCGCTGGAATGAACTTCAGCTGCTGCCCAAGTGAGCCATGCACACCATGCACTCTCCTGCCTGCTGCCCAGCAAGAAGGTTGGTGTTCAGGGGTTGAAGGATCTGGAACTCCACTCGGAGCGAGGATCCCGTTCAGAATGGATCCAGAGCCACGGAGAGGCCCTGCCCGCTGGCCGATGCGCAGTGCAGTTTGGGAAAGGAAGATCTCATTCCAAGAAGATGGAAATTCTCCGGCGAAGTAGGTACCGCTGCCTTTTCCCAGCCACTTTGTGGCTCACCAACAGTCTCCACTTTCTTTCACCCAAGCACTGTCTCCACTTCCATCCGTGGTGGAAGGCATGGTGGGGATCCCAGAAGCTCTGGCTTTCAATTAATTCTTCGCCAGCGAAGCGCGTCCAAATCGCGTCTAGAGGCATCCCCCGCGAAAACCTTAGCGACTCGCAAAAGCCTCTAGGACAACCCAACTACGGCCGTTATGCTACTGTGTCAACCCCCCAGATACACGATTCAGTCTTAAGCCTTACCTCGCCGAAATGAACATCGTCCGAGAACACTACAATGATGGCAATCGTGCCTTTCTCCAAGCCTTCCTGGCTCGGGGCACACTCACATACGAAGACGCACAGCCTATCCTAGCAGGAATCTTCACCATCGAAGCCCAAGATGGCGAGCCAGTCGCCCCCGAACAGGTCACGATGGAGGACTTCGACTCTTACCTGCGAGCCGCAGCCGAAGGCGTCTCTTTCTTCGACTACGAAATACGAAGCACGATCCATCAAGTTACCAAAAAGCGCATCTACGCTCTCGTGAATACCGCCTCTGACCCTATGACACAACTGGCGACCACGTTCAACGCAGAGCAGATTTCGTTTACAAAGAGGTTACTAGACGCCATGTTCGAGACGTACAACTCCCCGCGCATGGAGCTCATGTGCATCACGGAGATGCAGGCTATTAAGCTGGCCCGCCCTCCTCGACAGAATAACAATAATAACGACGAGAACGGAGAACCCACACAGACGCAGTCGTCCTCAGACAAGGGACTTAAGCACAGCGAAGTGGAAGACATGCTGGCGAATCTAGTGAACCAGGGCTGGTTAGAGAAGTCCAAGGATGGGTTCTACAGCCTCAGCCCGCGAGCACTGCTTGAGCTCAGAGCATGGCTGATCGACTCATTCAACGACCCCGACGCGGCCGCGCAGGATTGGCAGCGCATCAAGTTCTGCGAGGCGTGTAGGGAAATCGTCACAGTCGGACAACGGTGTGCGGAACGAGACTGCAACGCGCGCCTGCACAATACATGTCAAGAAGGGTATTGGCGCACTCAGCGGAGCCACAAGTGCCCCAAGTGCTCAAAGGACTGGGATGGGGAACATTATGTGGGAGAGCAGGCCATGACTAGCACAGAGGCATATCAAAGGGGCCGTCGGAGGAGTGGAGGTGGCAGGAAGAGTAATGCGGCAGACGAGGCCATGCACGAGAATGGGGAGCATGAGGAAGAAGAAGACGAGGATGAGACATGATGAAGCATAGAAAGATGTGGAAGCTCTGCCCGCGGGATGCGATGGGCAGTTTCCACGAAAGATACCCCACGATGGTGGCTAACTCAGCCGTATCACTCAATATTTGCCAATGACATGCATACCTTACATAACGCCCAGACAGCTGTCAAAGGAGACTGGATGAGCCGCAATGTTCTCAAAGGTTCTTCATTTCTCCATACCAGCCCCAACAAAAGAGGCGAATTTTGAACGGGTGATCATTCATGCTGTTCCATTGGATGCCTCCGGCGCAACCTCAAACAAATGGACCGCTCCTAAGCGAACCGGCAGCTAGATCCGGGTCCCCACATTTTCCGCACCGCCACACAGGAGGCCGCTCCAAGGGTGACATCACATGTGGATGTGTAAGCTACCCCAGCTTGCCTGCTCAACCAATCTAACACATGAACTTGGACGACGTGACGCCGCATGATAGAGTGCAGGGCCCTGGCCCAGACCCAGACCACATGTGATTCAGAACAAGCGCTTGGCCGTTGCAATAAAATAAGCCTGTTCCGACCGCCTTATTACGGCGCTCTTGCATCTTCTTCTAGGAAACTACAACTTCTTCGTCGTGAATCTTTATTGAAAACACATCGGATCACAACGCTCATCAACCAGTACGCCAACCTTCGACTCTCCTGGTTTCTTCCCAGAGAAACCTAAACTTCGTCGCCCAAGATGTTGGAATACCTGAGCTACAAGAAGTTCAAAAAGTACAAGACGGAGAAGGAGGCAAAGGAGGCGGCAGCGGCAGAAGGCGAGGTGGAACACAACAGCGTATCGCCAGCACCATCAACAGGCAAGCTTCACCCAGACTCGCGACCATCAGCCACAAGACGCCAAACGAGCTCGCAGTCCGTCTCGACAACAGCAAGCGCAGCAACAGGAGGCGGAGGCCCCGCGCCCCTCCTCAACCGCAAAGATGAGGCCTTCTTCAGACGCATCCTCGCCGACGCCAACGACGTCGACTCGGACGACGAGAGCGTCCGGCCCGCCCTGCCCCCGCGCAGCAAGACGCCAGAGTACATCTGGGAGGACTCTGACGGTTCCCGGCGCACCGCCGCCGCCGCCGAAAAGCAGACGCCCAAGAAGGCCGCGACGGTAGCGGTAGACCCCAAAGACGCAAATGCCTCGGGCAGCAGTTCCAAAATCCCTAGCAAGATCGCCTTCCTCTTCAACAAGGCCAAAGGAACCCTCAACGACAAGGACAAGCAGCTTGCCCCGACAAAGTCAAACGTCCCACCCAAAGAAGCCGCCCGCGAAGAAGACGACCTCTCCCGCGTCCTCGACGACCTCAACCTCTCGGCGCGCAACAACAAGGCCGTGCCCTTATCCGCCGAATCCTCCGAGCTCGTCTCCAAATTCACCCTCGTCCTAAAGGACCTCGTCAACGGCGTGCCCACCGCCGCAGATGACCTTAAAGCTCTCGTCGAGGACCGCGACGGCACCCTCGCAAAGACGTTTGACAAGCTTCCCAATAGCATGAAGAAGCTCGTCACCCAGCTCCCGGACAAGTTCACCGCCAGCCTGGGCCCGGAGGTCCTTGCGGCCGCGGCGAAGGCGCAGGGCGTCAACCACGCGGAGTTCACCGCCGAGGAAGGGATCAAGGGCGCCGCGAAGAAGATGTTCACGCCCACGAGCCTCGCGGACCTCGTTACCAAACCGGGCGCCGTCGTGGGCATGCTCAAGGCCATCGTCAATGCTCTCAAGCTGCGCTGGCCAGCCTTTATTGGCGCCAATGTCATCTGGAGCGTTTCCATATTCCGTAAGTCTTTTTTCTTAAGCTTTGATCTTTCAGTACCGGGAGTAGTATGCTGACATGACAAAAAGTCCTCCTCTTTGTCCTGTGGTACTGCCACAAGCGCGGCCGCGAAGAACGCATCAAGCGCGAAAACGCGCCCGAAATCATTGACGGCTCCGGCCGCATCGAGGAACTCCCCGATGACCCGGCCCTCATGGCGGGGCCCTCGCGCTCCCGCACCGAGCCAGTGGTGCGGTCATCAGATCGCCCGCGCAGCCAGCGCAGCGAACGGAGCCGGCGGAGCGGGCGACACAGCTCCGGACGGACGACCCCTCAGCGACGAGCGTCGCCGGGCCCCGATTCCCCGAGACGGAGGTCGACAAGGAAGTAAACAGGTGGTTGTGGCGTGCTCTGGAAAGTTGACCGACCTCTGTTTCTTTACGATTCCTCTTTTTAATGACCCTTACGGCTTGCGTCTCCTTTACTAGGTATGCGACGAATGATTGGAACGACATATGAAAGAAATGGACAGGCAAGGATGAGAATTACATGATGAGAGGGGTGAAATACATTCATTCTCGTACTTCGATGATCCTTTATCCTCTGGAAAATTAGAATTCTGTACGTAGAGAGGGCATTTTCCCACTCATGTTCCTCACCCAGTGATAGTTTTAATGAACAGCTATGAATTGGAATGCAAAAGACCTGCATAATCGCAAAGTTCTGTCTGGGTATCTTCCGGCAGCGAAACAAAAAAAAAGAAATGCCACTATGTCTCACAACATTGCCTCCTCCATCGTGAGGGGCATCCCCTCTAGTCGTCCTGAACCAGCTCCTTAATCTCCTCGCGTCCACCAGCCGCAAGACTGCCCGTCTGACCGGCCTTCTCGCCCCCCTGACCGAAACGATCAATGACTTTGCAGCCATCCTGGACCCAAAAGTCAACCTCGTCAATGATGTCGTAGACGATATCTTCAACAATCTGCTCCGTGTACCGCTCCGAGACGGGCCGCACCTGATCCAGGCCAGGGTACGCGGGCAGCGACGACGGCGGCGCTGCCTTCTTGGATTCTTCCTGTCCGGCGTCGATCATGGACACCTCATTGTCGTCGGGGCCCTCTTCGAGCCCGGGAGGCGGGAACCAAAAGTCGGGGCCAAAGTTGACCTCGGCAGCACCGCCTCTAAAGACGCTCACGGCGGGATAGTAGCCGAGCATGCCGTTGTCGAGGCCCTCGCGAGCGCCGATTTGTCCCTGCGGCTTGGAGGCCGGGGGCAGGAAGGCGAGGAGGTCGGTGAACGGGGTGCCCATGAGCACGCCGTTCTTGTACACCTTGATGAAGGATCCGGGAAGCGTGCGGAGGGCGGGGACGACGTGGTTAGGGTTGGGCGCTTCAACTGAGTTGGCGGGGCCGGACGAGACGGGTGAGGGGTTCATGAGGTCCTCGAGCTCCTTGGTTGTGTGGTAGTCAATCTTCTCAAAGTAGATGTGCGACTTGAAGCGGATGGGAATGCGGTCGCGGACAATGTTAGGCGCATCAAAGTTTGTGCTGTCATCGTCCAAGCCGGTATCAACGGCTGGATTGTACTGGCCAGCCAGGACCTTGCGCTGTAGACGTTCCGAAGGCAACTGGATCTCCAGGCCAATGACATCGCCCTCTCGGATGCCCTCTCCTTCGGGGAAGAAGGACTTGGGTCGTGACATGTACACCTTCTCACCACCAACGTCGCGCAAGCCGTAACTGTATGCGTCGAAGCCAACCGGCGCATCCAAAGTCGCCTCTCTTCTCGCGAAACCCATGCGCACGTGGCCATGCGACTCGGACTTCTCGTCTCCGCTTGTCTTGTCGACAATTCCTCTTGTAATCTTGGTCTCCCAGTAGAACCGTCCCTCCCGGATAGCGACATTCGCGCGCGTCATGCGGAAACCCTTGTTGGTCGTAATATGAAGGCCCGTCTGGTCAAAGAACAGATGAGTTGCGCTGTCTTCGAAGCTGAGATGAGGCCCTGTGGGCTCTGCTTCGGTGCCGCGGTAGTATAGCGCTGAGGGAAATCCGGGGTCCGCTATACAGTGAGTGTAGTGGTAGCTTTTCTTATTGTGAACACTTTGGTCTCGTTAGCATCTTCAGTCAGGCGCATAGAGCTATCGGTAAACTCACTGCTCCGACGTCTCGTAGAACTGGATCTCGCTTCCATCCAAAGCAGGGACGTTGTGGTGATGAGTGAAGCTGGCTCCGCGAGCGGGCTCAAAGTCGGAAGGCTTGGGAGGCGCCAGCTTGTAGCGCATCGGACTGTAGTCGGACTGCTTAGGTTCGCGATGCTTGGGGTCCGGTGTGCCACGGTTGCTGTCGCCGCCAAAGGCGCCCTTGGACTCGCGCTTCTTCAGCGACTCCTTCTTATTGCGCTTTGCTGGCATTTCATCGGCACCTGAAGGTTTTGGTGTAGACCTGACGTCGGGATTGAGTGGCGAAGGTACAGAAGGAGTAAAGTCTTCTTCGAGAGCAGGTCTCTTCAAGGGGATGGCAGTCGAAGATGGAAGGGAGCCGCCCGGGGTCGGCTCCCGTGGAGGAGGGGGTGTGCCTGAGTCAGAGGCCATTGGAACGTCTATTGAATTCGAACGTGAAGCTCCTTGTATGTTCAATCCGTGAAAGCGGTTGCGTGGTTGGATCGGTGATGTGGTGGGTGGAAGAGTGGTGAACAATGGAAGCGTTCCAAGGTCTTGGGTCCTGTCGCGAGGCGCGTGTTTCAAAGGTCGAAATTTTGGGAGCTGCACCAGGGAAGCTTCAGCACACCCCGCGTCAGCCATGGAAGCTCGGTCTGTCGTCACGCAAGGGGGGTCTTAGCGGGTAGCCAGGGGTCTAGTCCCTCCCCAGGCCATTGATTAGGAACTCGGGCTAGAACCTGGCGGGGCAGGCAGGTACTGCAGGTTGCTGCATTTGACAGCTGGAGTACGGTCATCCCAGGGAGTCAACCTGGAAAGCTTACCTTATTGCAGCATCTCTCACATGTCTTTCACACGAGATTTGTTTGGTGCTTTATGAGGTATAATCCTATAGCTATTATACCTTATTATGACATTTGCCTCAAGTGAGCCTTGTGATGATTCACTCTCTTTGAAAACAACTATTTTAGGCCACCATATCGCACACAGTGACTTTGGCTCTTTGTAAATCAGACCAGCACTTGAAGTGAGACTTGTCTTTCGCTCTATCAGCTCTCTATCGGACACCATGTCCCTTCTACTAAGGTATGCCGTCAAACGCCAGTCCCATGTTTATCCTTACAAAGTGTACAGAGGGGGTTGTTTGTACAATGTTTTGTTTTTTCTCCATCCAACCCTGGTATCACCCATTTCCAGCCCAACCTCCAAAACCTCCTTAGATGGCGCGCTCCTGCTCTTCCACTGGTGGATCCCAAGTCTCTAATGACTTGAGAATGCGTTGGTACAAGAACAGCATGGTGCCACTCTGAATAAAAGTCCATACGCCACGGGGACCCACGCCCCTGAACCATCCACTGACCCCTTCCGTCTGGTAAATGACCTTGAGACCTTCAATGACGGACGAAGTCTGCAAGTTGACCGCGCCTGGTCGCGGGGTATGCGTCGAGGGCGAAGACGTTGAAATGTTGCGCGTCTGAGACTTTGATGTTGAAGCGTGCGCAGCGCCCTTGGCCACCGGCTTCATCTCTTTGGGCAACAGATCAGGGTGTACCTGCGTCTGCAAGCGCGTCTTGACGACATCCAGAGGACATGTCATAATGCCAGCCAAGCTGCCGGCGAGACCGCCGGTAAGGAGCTCCAGCGGCACACCAACATCTCTGCTCTGCTTGTAGGTGCGTGCCCAGGCGTGGAATTGCTCCCAAAACATGAACTGAAGTGCTGAAAATGGGAGATCACGGGCCAGTGTTGCCTGGTAACCGTGGAAGAGCGCAGCCGGTCCTTCGTGACGGACAATCGTCCGCGCCGCATCAACGGTTCCTCTGTAGTTATAACCCGATTTGAAATATGGATTGTTATACCGTCCTTGCAACTGCAAGCGGGTCTTCAATACCTCGGATGGAACGTAGACGATGGAGCCGGCCAAGTCTCCGAGAAAGCCTAGGCAATAGTCAGTCAATTAGTGCCTCTCAACAGCAAAGCGCAAGAATCGACGAACCAGCTGAGAGGTAGGCCAGGTGCTGTTGCACACCATGGTCAATGAGAAACCGTTTGCTCCATTCGTACGTCCCAAAAAACAGCATCGTGCCTGGAAGGGAACCACCCAGAGCCGGTATCCATCCGCCATAAAGACCTCGCCGGACGCCCTCTTGCCGCAATATTTTGTAGTATGACGAGCCCAAGGACGTATATTTTGGCGGTATATGCGGGTCGCCCTGTTGCCGCGTCTTGACCGTGTCCAGGGAGTGCATGAGCATGTCGCCCGTCGAACCTCCGACACCTCCAGCAATCATGGCGTGGAGGTAAGGCGGACGGCCTTCCTCTTCGAAAGAGTCATCTTGGAGACTCATATCCTCCTGTCTAAAAGATTGTCCGACTGTTCTGATATCCGGCAATAGTCCTCCCGTCTGTACCGCATGTCTATCCTCCTCGAACGAGGCCGCCGCCGCCGGGGTCGAAGCCGAGATGCCCCCCTGAATCGTTTGCGCGTGGTTATCGGCAGGAGCTAGGGAGCTGACGATGCGGTCAGCGACGGACATTTGCGAGTGGTGCCTGTCGTTGATTGACCAGGCACTCTCCGGTCTGCGTCAAGGGTCGGTCCCTCTCGGTCCTGAAATGCTGACGTCGGTCGGTTTTCGATGTCGAAGGGGGGAAAGAGATTCGCGGTTGGGCACTGGTGAGTTCCCGCTGCGGGACGACAGAAGAAATAACGCGGCAAATTGGTTTCGAGGGGAAATTGAAGGAGAGGCCTCCTCGTCGTTGATTGTTGCGTGGGTTAATTGGCGCAGTCAAAAACTTGGCGGCGGCGAGGAGGAGCAGCAGCTGCAGATAATGATATCGAAATTTCAATGCAGGGTTCCCGACTCTGGGAATTTTTGTTGGTGGTGCACAGACCACATTCAATACTGCACTCCCGCTGCGTCACCGTCGGGTGAGCTCCCGTCTCTTTCTTTCATCAGCTGCCAGCGTCGACTAAATCAGCCGGACCTAAGGCCCTGAGCTGAAAGCCCGGTCCCGAGAGCTCCGAGCTGCAACGCGGGACAGCCCGCGCCGCTTCGAATATGGGCGGGATTTTGAATTGCCCGCACCTAAGAAACCAGATATTCCAATCGTCATTGAAAACAATCTGGAGTACTCAAATGGGAGTTGAAGTTGAAAGTACCCAGTCATTGACTAGTACCTCATGGTATACATAAACTTTCAAAGACCCTGTATCCCGAATCCGGGACTTTCTACATATCCCGCCCACATGCTTATTCATACACGAAGCCATTCGCGCTTCAGTATCTATCCTTGAATTTGTGTTCTTCCCATTTCACGCGCCCAAACTTGCGCCAAGGCCAGATATTCCATATGCATTTCCCTGTCACCAGCGCCATGGATATCGGGCCGTACGTATTACTGTCCAGCGTCTGATCCTGTGGCCCATCCCCCTCCACCCAAATATGGCCCTGCGGCACCCTGACCACTCTCTCCGGATACGGTGCTCTCGTCGTGACATATTCGCCTTCCAGCGCGACGACTCTCTTGATCGCTACGGTCTCGGGATGAAAAGGGCTCCTGCGAAAAGCAAGCACAACGGTTAGCTCGCCGCCCGGCTTTCCAACCTTCATGAGAGGTGGGGGGTACGGAGGGCCAGTGAAAACGTACCTAAATGTGACAATCATGCCTCTCTGGAGCCCGTAGGAGGGTTTCCACCTCCAATTGAGCACCATATCATTTGCAGTCGTCATATTGCGATCCTCGTTGTAGTAGGGGTACATGGAGCCGCCGCTGATGCTCGTGATGGTTGCAACATGGTCGTTGAAGGTAATCACGACCGGAATCCAGGTCGCAAGCCCAAGCAGACGGAGTGTGGTGTCACCGAGGAAACTGCCTCGTGCGCGCGCCCATAGCGAACGGGAAGCCATGGGCGCAAGATATTGTCAGGTTGTCGCGGAGATTTGCCGCGCTGTGCCTTGGGAACAGCGCCTTCTCTCCTGTTGCCGGTAGAATTGTCGCGAGGAAGGTTTCGAGCTCTCCATCATCTCATGTTGTTATCTTATCTCTTATCTTATCAACTTTATCACAGGAAGCAACCTAAGGTACCTGACGGAGCTTTGGGGACAACAACCGCGCCTCACAACTTCACACTAACTACGGGACTTTCGAGATTCCATCATACAATCCGACATCTCTTTCTTTCACAATTGTGTAGAAAGCATCATTTTTCTGTATTCCACTTAGTGAGAAGGGAACACTTAAAGATGAGTAATGAACCGCAAAATTGAGTTGAAGTGTACCGATCATACAACACTCTATTGCCTCTGCTCGATTCGTCTCCTTTGGTTCCACTACTTGGGCCCAATCTTCGAGTTGTAGATGCCTTCAATTAATCAACATTGTATCTATCTTATTCTAAATCCTCGAGGGTGAGACCGAAATCGTGAAATTTCTAGTACATATAATACATAGGTACTTTGAACGAAGAGCAACACAATCTAAACCAAAAAAGAGTTCACCCCCTCGGTGCTGAATTGGGGGTTACATCTCTTGGTGCTCATGCTGGGAATCGAACTCGAACTCGTAGCCTGTCGTCGAGTAGGCTATGGGCGTAATTGAATTTTTTGATTATTGACCTTAAACCACTCCACCACCCAGCCAGTTTGACCTGACCCGTCGACCTAGACGGGCGCCTCCTGGCTGGTGACTGGAATGGAATTGGAGGGACCTATATGGGCTTCCTGTGCATATTCAGGTGTAGTCAGGTGATGGGAAACTTATCGGATGAAGGTTCGGTGAGGCAGGACCTAGGATAGGTAGGACTAGCTGCCAGTCGTTCTCGCCCTACAGCATCTCGTCTCGGGAACTGCGCACTTGGGAACCTCCAGTCATACCGTTGGGAGCATCCTTCTTCATGCGGGAGATTAGACAGCTCCATCATCGCAACATTACTGACGCCTGCGCCGACGAGATGGCAAACCCACGATCGTCCGTCCTATAAGTGGACTATGCGAATGTGGCCATCGGAGGACGACTTTACTTAGGGGGAAATCACTGACATTTGTGCTTTGATGAGCCGTCATGTTGCGTGCGGGGAAAGCTGTTGTCGTCAATTGGGTTGATTATGGTGGACATATTCGTCTTCTCGCTAAGTGCCCCAGCTTGTGGTAAGACCGGCCATACATCGTATTAATAGGTACGGGTCATTCCTTTCATAGCATCATCAGTCCGTCGCTCACTCACAATCAGCCAGGGAACAATTTTGAAATGTTTAGACTCTTTTTTGGTCGTCTCATTAGAATCACTCTGGATTCCCAGCCTGCCAGTACGCTCATTCTACCAGCCGCCCCTTTTTTGTTGTGATGACGTTGACTCCAAAGGAAAAATCTAAACCTCCGGGTTGTCGTCGCTCTCAGAGACACTCTCGTCACCGCTGACCTCGGCGTTCTCGCGCTCCCTCTTCTCCATGAGAGCCTGTAGCTCGGCGTCATCGCTCTCCGTAACGGCCTTGGGCTCCATCTTCACCACCAACGAACCGCCGGCAGCCTCGATGCTGTTGCGGATCTCGACAATGGCCTCCTCGAGGCGAGTAATACCGAGGTTCTTGTCCAGGCACGTGCTGGTCAGGACGTACAGAGGGGGGGACACGAGTCTGACCTTGACCTGGGTCTGGTCGTCGTTGCGCGCCTCGGCAGTGCGCAGGGCGTTCTTGACGGCGTCGATACCCTCGTATCCGAAGCAGGTGACCTCAACGTCGGCACGGACCTTTGTGGGTTGAGGGGTGAGACGCTTCGCGATATATGACTTCAACTCCTCGGAGACGGCCTCGCTGGGGAAGGTGGCGTCGTTCCAGACCTCGGCGTTCCTATCCTTACGCATCAGTATCCTCGATCTCTCTTGCTATAGCGGCATATAGTCCTCAACTCACGTGATAGACAGCTTGAAGGCGTCAATCGCGTGACCGTACTTCTTGTTGAGGGGCCATGCGATGGTCTCGTAGAGCTGCTCGATCGGGGTAAGGGTCTTCTCGGCGACGTGGCGCATGATGGAGTGGACCATCTTGCCCTTGTTGTACCGCTCCTCGCACTTGATAATATCCTCTGGCGACACACGACGCTTGGAAAGATCGATATAACCCTTCTCCTTGTCGACACGTAGGACGACGACAACCTCGTTGCGGCCCACACGGATGAGCTTCTGGATACTTCTGATACGACGTCTCGAAAGTTCGGAAAGCAGAATCATGCCGTCAATGTTGTCGTACTCGAGAAGCTTGACGTAGGCACCCATCTCGGCAATCTATATCACCAGTCAGACCTGGATGTTCCCTCTGTCTCTCCTCTGTACCCTTCATATCCACGGCGACCGGGTGGGTTTGGGCGGTTCGGCTCGCCGTGTGCGTTGGGCCGGCGGGGCACAAACCTGCTTGACGTTGACCATGACGAACTCATCGATCTCGGGGTACTTGTTTTCGAAGTATCGAAAGTGACTGTAGTTCGGTTCCGCCATCTTGGCTACTGGTGCTCGAAGTCGTCGAGTACGAAGGGTGGTGGTGGCGGTTGTGTGGTGTTGTTGAAGGTGGTCGGCCAACAGGTGTGGAGGGGCGGGGTGCGAAAGAAGGCGCGCGGGCTTTTTACACGTCCTTCCGGTCTTTGGATAGCTTGTTTCCTCTGTGCTCGGTGGAGAATCGGCCTACTCGTCGGTCCTGATATCGCTTGCGGAGGGATCGGTTGCTCGGGGGCGACGTCGAAAAGCGAAAGAAGCAGCCTTTTGGGTGTGAGCGGCGTTACGTTGGTGATTGGGCGATCGAGTCACAATTTTGCTACTGCGGTTCACAAATCGCAGAAATCCGAACAGTGGTGGGGGTTGCTTTTGGGGCGGTAGTCCATGGCAGAATCGGTGCTGATTCGGCCGATAAGCTCTGCTTCGCTTATCGCCACGTGAGCGCCCCTCCAACCAAATTGTTCAGGTAAACAGACCCCAGAAGCTAACATCCAGGTACACCCAGAGCTGCTTGTTGTTAGAGGCGCATAGAGCTACTTCACCGTAAGAGCTTCGACAACATCAGAACAATAACCCCAAAAATGGCACCTGGTGAGTTCTTGGAAGGCTTCGACCTCCAATATCGTTCGAACAACTTTGGCCAACTACTGACACCTCAACAGCTTCCCAATTCGAGCTGGCGCAACCGCCTAGCGACGCCATCTCCTCGCTTTCGTATGCGCCCGAATCGCCTACTAGACTCCTGGTATCCTGCTGGGACAAGAAGATCTACCTCTACGACACACACAGCGGAGGTGAAGATTCGCCAGGCGTTCTCATCAAAGCCATTGAGTTCCGAGCGCCTGTCCTAGACGTGACTTTTGGCGCGACAGACAACGAGGCCTACGCGGCGTGTTTAGACCACTGCGTCTACAAGTATGGCGAACTATGAAGCCACCACTGGCCATTGGACGAAGCTGATGCCTTGAATCTAGGATCGACCTTGAGACAGAAGAGAAGCAAGCCGTTGCGCAACACGGCGCGCCTGCACGATGTGTAGTCTACAGCCCGGAGCACTGTTAGTGATGTTACAGCTATGCCACTCCTTAGCCACGCCGTCTAATTAGCCTCACAGCTCTCCTCATCTCCGCCTCTTGGGACCTCACCCTCCAGATCCACAACGCAAAGTCGCCCTCTGACACGAACATCACCGTACAGCTGCCCGGAAAGCCACATGCCCTGGCAGCCAGCCCCTCAAAGGTCGTCGTCGCCATGACCGCGCGCCTCGTCAACATCTACGACCTGACCAACATCCCCGCCCTCTTCGCCGAGCCCGGCCCCCACGACATCAAGCCCTGGCAACAGCGCGAGTCATCCCTCAAGTTCCTCACCCGTGCCATCTCTTGCATGCCCAATGACGCCGGCTACGCCACTAGCAGTATCGAGGGTCGCGTCGCCGTCGAGTGGTTCGAGGACTCGGCCGAGTCCCAGGCTCGCAAGTACGCCTTCAAGTGCCATCGCGCGGCTGCGCCTGACGGTGAGGGCGATATCGTGTACCCGGTCAACGCCATGACGTTCCACCCCGTCTACGGCACCTTTGCCTCGGGTGGTGGTGATGGGACGGTCGCCTTGTGGGACGCCGAGGCCAAGCGCAGGATGAAGCAGTACCAGAAGTTCCCCGATAGCGTCGCGGCCCTGGCATTCTCCAAGGATGGCAAGTACCTTGCCGTTGGTGTATGCCCGGGTTTTGAAACAGGCATGGAGGACTATAGCGCTGAGGGCAAGGCAAGCGTGTTCATCCGTGAGCTTGGCGAAACGGAAGCCAAGGGCAAGGGTGCGAAGTGATCGACTACGGCCTTTAGGAACCTGTGATGGAATCTTACAAGACTTGTGGGCGCACGGCGTTTGAGGTGGTTTACATATGCAAGCATTTCATTTTAATGGACTGGGAGGGTTACGGAAAAGCCTGATATCTATTATATCAGATGACACCCATTGTATTGGGTGAGAGGCGTGGCTGTTGATAAATCTTGGTAGTCTCCATCAAGCTGATTCTCCCAATAGTCTCCCAGCAAGGAAGCCTTGTACACAATTACGATATCAAGCATGCTGCTATATCCTCCGCACTCCTGAAATTCGCCTGCATACCCATATCCCCATTGTGTTGCTATTTCGCACCCAGTTGCGCCTTGTTCTTGCTTTCCACATTTCTGCTCTCGCTGGAAAAGGTTCCGTAGGGACGTGGTCTAAGGTCTGCGAACGCGCCAGCCCAAGTGGCCGATCCTCCCTGCAACCCAGCCAGTGGCAAAGCCTTTTGGGTTCCCCCGCTTAGATCTGTTTCCCTAGTGCTCATGAGACCAAAGGAGGTCTTGCGTCCAGCATCTGGCTTCATCTTAGTCATGGTGTCGGCCGGTGTTGTACTGTCTGTTGCCGCCAGTTCATTCAAATCCAACTGATCGTCAAAAACGTCGCCAACCAGCGCTGTGGCTGAGGCCTCCCGCGAGGTGCTTGATATGCCTACGTGAGAAGCGTCACGAGAGCCTGCGTTCGCTCGGTCCGACTGTAGAACGGCGTGTCTTGTGAAATCGGTCTCTTCAGCATGATCAGATAAAATGAACAAGTTATCAGAACGGTGTCTCGATCTTCTATACATGGGCAATACTTCGATGGTGCGGAGGGATGGTAAGACTCCGGGACTTCCCGAATTCTCGTTGACATTGCTCCTCTCGGTGTGCTGGAATTTATTCGAAGTGGCCTCTCCTGGAGACTCTGGCGTCGCCAGCAGATCGACGGCTTCAGATGAAGCCTTGACTCTAGTATTTCTTTGAAGATCAGGATCGATGACAAATCTTTCGCGCATCCTGGTACTCTTCGTATTGCTTCGAAATGATGCAGGTTTAATGCCGCAAGATACAGAAAGGGAGCTTATTCCAGGCAGGGCGGGAGATCTCTTTCGCCGCTTCGCACTTCGTAGTTTGCTGGATCCGATGATTTCCCTTGTGTCAAAACCATCCCTGAGACTCTGATACCCCGGCACCTGGGATCTTTCCGGTACCGGTAACATCTTGTAATTATCAATGGTCATCTTCGTGTGGTATCTCAAAGATGGCCTTCCGCGCTGTCTCTTGAGGGGGCTTGATATCTTTGGCGCAGATAAATGATATCGTCTTTGAACCGGCACATCTTCTGTGGGATTCCACGCTGGTAAAGCTGTTAGAAAACTTCGGCTTTTATGACATGAGACTTGCCTTCGTTTCGATCAAATCGACTACTCGATTTTGGAAAAGGCGAAAAACTATAATCAGAGCCGAGGAGCGTGGTGGGCATGGTGCTCCCCATTCTCTGGGACGGTGACTCGCTAATCGAAAAGCTTTCCTCGATGCTTGGGAGCGGAGAGCTTTGGTCGTGAGTGATGAACTCCCACTTGTCGAAGTTCTGGTCTGACTCCTCGACCTTCACGGATAACCCGACAAGAATGTTTGGATTGGTGTCTTGTGGAAAGCCCGGCAGGCTTCGTCTGTGGTCGTTGACTGCATCCAATGTTCCAGGGGGCTCGGATGTTTGCCTTCCGATGAATGTGAAAATATCGTTCGAAGCCAAGACAGCCTCCTGAAGCCTGTCACTTGAATTAGCTAGCTCTGAGAGGTAGGCTTCTAGACTCACTGCGACATAGTTGAACAAGAATCAAACAATTTACGGCCTGGAATCAAGACAAGTGGAAGGAAGTCTGCTGAAAGTTAGCAGTGTAGCATTGAAAGGGGGGTGTAAATATGGCAGGAAATTCCCAGGAGTTCTTCACAGTGGAGGTAGGTGCCGGCTTGAGTTATTCGCCGGAGGAAAGAACGAGCGATGGAGCTACTACTTCTGCTTCCAAGTGAAGCGAAGTAGGTAGGGAAGTTACCACCTGCAGTACTCCACGTCACGCCTTCCTTGTGCCAGGGATAAGAACAGACACCAAAGTCACCCCTTTCTCACATGGCGAAATCCTCCCGGTGAGTACGAATCAATCGTAATGATTGTATGGGAAGCAGATTCATGAAAGCATTATAGTTTTATCTGATCAAACTGAATGGATGAGAACTCACTTTGTCTTTTCTTCACATAGCCTCAATATACAACTGTTTACCTGATTCCAGAGAATTTACCATGTGTTGTTTGGAGTCTGTTGTCCTGTGCTGCCTCTGGCGGGTTCTAGGGGATGTTGCAAACAACCCAAGCATCATAAGAATGGGCACAACATTTCGAGTTTTCAGACACCAGTCTTGACCAATTTCATTTGTTACTAAAATGCCGAAGGCCAACAGCTCCAGTCAAGGATATCCTTCCTGCCTGCGTAAGCGATGCGGAAAGAATGGATGGTGATTGGCTTCCAGGCCAAGTAAGCTGCATGATACATTGCAGAGCCTCGAACAGACTAATGACAGTCTCAGGAGCAATGGGTCTGCGAATTTTGACTACGTTCAGCATCGCAGACTGGATCGGTGCCTGGCCAGAGATGTGTATGAAATTGTACTTGAAAGGCAGCTAAGCAGCGGCTACGGGACACCATGTCGCTTTTCAACAGCCTCTCAGTAATCCATCGGCCGCCACCTTTTGTACTGGTTCCGCACTCGATAGTACTACTTTCCGCCTTCCTTGGGTGCAATAGCCTTGGGCTCTGGAACATAGTCGAAAGTTCCTCCCATGTTCAACAACCAGACTTCGCCAGGGTTCGCCGGGACCTTCTCTCCCCATAAAAAGTTATGGGGGAAGCCCATATCGAACGGGACAGCTCCTTCGATCTCCTGGATTTCTTCATCAGAGAGATCGAGGGCTAAAGCCTCGATGTTTTGCTTCAGATGATCGACAGTGCGGCCGCCGACGATGGGGAAGACGTAAGGCGTCTTTTGCATGACATAAGCTAAAGCAACACTCGTGATGATTGTGCCTTTGCTGCTGGCGATCTTTTCCAGCACCTGACTGATCTTGATCTGCGCTTCGCTAGCCTGAACTTTGCGGCCCTCCTGGGACTTGCGTTGCTCTTCCGTCTTGAAAGCCTGTTCTTTCAAAGTTAGTCATTCTTCTCTAATCAGCTAAGACTGAGTTGGGAGCACTCACGCCACCGCCGAGCGCGCCCCAGGGTGCCAAGCTCATTCCTAGTATGGTGTGAGAGAGTGTTTTTCAGTCTCGCTTTGAAGGCGCTGCAAACCTTCAGCCTTGGTCATTGGAATGATCTCTCGCTCAAAGTCTCGCGAGGCAGCAGACCATCGCCCTTGATAGACTGAGAATTGGCGTAGTCCGTGATTTCTGGCGTATTCATTGGCCTTGCTAATGGGGAAGTTAGCCCAGCTCCGTTGATGGGGATGATTTCTGACGGAATTTACCTGACGATCCATGCGGGGGTGTCACTGATGCCGAGAAAGAGGACCTTGCCGGTGATGACGAGGTTGTTGAGGGACTGCATCAGCTCCGGAATAGAAGTAGAATAGTCCCACCAGTGAACATAGAGCTACTCTGTGTAAGTGACGTCGCTTGAAAGATGAGAGACTAAGCTGCTTACCAGGTCAATGTAGTCGGTCTTCAGCTTGCGCAAGCTTGCCTCTACAGAAGTGTGCAAGCTCTTGGATCCGTTGCCGGTGAAGTTGGCCATGATGCCCGGTGCGTCGGGACCCGCTTGGAAGTTCGTGGTGTACTTAGTTGCAATGACTGTCTCCATTTCAGATACAGCTCCTACTGGGATAGATGCACAAACTTACCCATTTGGTCACGAACACCTCTTTTCTTCATCCATTCGCCAATCCACTCTTCGGACTCTTCGAATTGGTAGTTGTTGGCGGTGTCAATGAAGTTGCCCCCTTGTTCATGGAAGAAGTCGAGGATCTCTTCGACGGTCTTTTGATCGCAAGTTCCCATGTATCCCTTCCTGTGAAACTCATTAGAACAGGATGTCTGAGACAGGTCTCATCAAAGTGATCTTACCAGGCGTCGCCAAAGTTCATGGCGCCCAAACACAGAGGACTCACTCGAACGGAAGCCGTCGGGGAGAGAATGCGGTAACGAGCCAAGGGGCTCTTGGGCGGAGCTGCCATAGGTAGGGCCGACATGATGATAGGTATTGTGAGATGTATGAGGAAGTAAGTCGAATGCAGCCCAGAATGAGAGGAACTTAGGATAAAGTCAGGTCGTTCGGTTGACCAGTGTATGAATTTGCGAGCTGACTGAGGTGGAATTTATGTTTTTCCAAGAGAGAGACTTAGAGCAGGAAGGCGGGGGATCAACTAATACCGACCGCTCTTTCCCCTCTGGACGAAACTGGACGTACGACAGGCAACATGACAGGACGGCAGGCAGGCCCCCCTCAGTTGGCAGGGCAAGCTGTAAGGTAGATCAAGGTACAGATGATCTCATGGTAAGGTAGCTCGTCCAGTCTGGTAGACACTGTCAGTCCAATTGGATATGTGGACATTTAGAGTTAGCTCCTGCGCCAGTCTCCAAGTCCGTGATGCTCCAGCCGAAGTGCCATGCATTAGGACCCTGCGCGAGTCCTGCATCCCACCTTAGCTCACCCTGGAGATGCTTTGTGCCTAATCACCGGTCTTAACCCCGACGATTCGCACTACCGGTTGCGGGCTGCAGGCGCCAGGCGAGCTGATGTTAAGCAATCGGATCAAATGAACTCTCCGGTGACGTGCAGGTCTGCACTGCGGGCTTACAGGATGACTGAGAGCTGATGATACATTTTCTTCGCCGAGGGGAGACGGTGATTGAAAACCGAACCCTTCCTTCCTGTCTTCACTCTACCTCACCTCAAGGCTGTCCGCAAGTTCAAAGCATCGCACAAGGCAGCCTGTCTATGAGCCTAGTTCTTATTCATTGGGTCATGATTTGCTCCAGGCTTGCTGCATGAGGTAGAACAACTTATCAGTGGCAGACAAAAAGACAACACAGCTTCTGAGATCACTCGCATTGGAAAAATTCTAGAAACAGGAGTGGATGTGTTTCACGATGTGGGCGATTAGAGCTGCTTCATGTCAAATGAATGCTGCTGTTCGGGTTCGGGTTTGGTTCTTTTGCATGTCTGTTCAAATGATGACTAAGACGCCATTGAGCGGAACGGATCAACTCCCGTTCCTCTTCATCCCAATCCAGCCCGCCGGGACAGCAGTCAGCGGGCAAAAAGCATCTGCATGAGGTACCTTAGCAAAGGCCGAGGGTGGTACGACAGTGGGCGTAAATGTGACAAGGGTCCTTCAACTTTTGACTAGCAGTCTCAACGACCCATTGGCAACCGCGCCCAACATTGCGATAGCCCCCCTTCGAGCGATTGACCTCTTGCGACTACGAAATGATCCGATAATCAAGTCGCGAACGATCATGGCAATTGTCGAGCTTGCACGATGTCTGCCCCCGCCCCCGTTCCCTCGAAAGCCGCGATTCATGCACTTCGAGGTCTTCTCTTCGGGACTTCTTGCTCTCTCGTCCTCTTAGCAGAAGAGCGTCGCCAGCGAATCAAAATAGCACGATCAGCAGTCGAAAATGGCAGGCGATTGAAGTCTTTGAAACGATACAGCACCAGCGGCGTCGCTGCTCTCGAGGCTCTCCAGGAAGAGGTCGCTACCGATCCAAATTTCGTTAGCTGGCCAACACGGTCTCGGAGCCGCGATTCCTCACACGAACACGGTAGATTGGTGTTCGATAGCTCATATTTGGATCAACACGTCAATGAAACCGGTCCAGATGCACGACGCCCAACAAGGGCAGCAAGCGAACGAGATCTTCCACAAAAGACGATAGACAAGCGAGAGACAACGCAGAAAAGTGGCCGGTCGACCTTGAACGCTACGCAGAGACAGAGGCCTGAACTCTTCGTGTCCCGTTTCTCGTCCGCAACCCCTGCGATACAGGACTTGTCTGCTCGAGATAGCGTTTTAAGGTCGTATGGAAAGCAACCAAATGGAGGGCCAGGACAAAGAAACGCCATTGATCTGGCAGTAGAACGTGTAATAAGCAACCACCCTGGTGCTATTGCTCAAACTGCTGGGCTAGAGGAACTGCTTCGCAATTCAACGTCTATACGGCGCGAAAATGACATACCGCCTGCAGCTCTGAATCTCGTTGCTCGAGCCTACAGGTTTGTGGACCAGTCGAAAGCGCTGCCTGAATGGTTTTCGGAATTGTCTTCGCTACTATCAAAGGCTTGCCACCGGTGGAAAGATTTTGGGATTGCCGGAAAGATTCTGGAATTTGCGGTTCACCATAAGGTGGCCACCGAGAACGACGTGCTGGCGGAGTGTGTTCTTGAGTTTGCCACATCCCTGGTCCCTTCAACGACGCAACAGCCTCAGAAAGACGAATCTGCCCCCGAACGTTTACAAGTAGCGGCAAGGCTGTATGTGGGCAATTTGCTGTTGCCACCGCTAGAGAAATCAAAAATACGATCTGGCTACGTGAAAGTGGGCAAGGACCTGATCAGTCAAGCCTTGGCGGAGGAGGACGAACGCCCTATTGACGTTCTTCAAATCTTTCAACAAGTTTCTACTTGGAGTTTTGACAAGCTTGGAACCATGGTCTGGTTCATGAGGCAACTCTTCGAGCATCAGCAGCATGCACTGGCCATCGATACGTTTATCGGAATCTTCGCCGAGTTGAGAAAGACCTCTACATACTCTAAGCGTCTCTGCATGGACGTCGTCAACTCAGTCGTCGCAACTGGAGGCTACCAGTGTCGCGAAGTTCTCCAGACATTCAACCTGCTGAGGGAGCGCGATGGATGGGATATGCCATGGAAATGGTTGGAAGACTTAATCTGGGTGCGTTGGAAGTCGACACGCAGTTTCACGGAGACCCTTCAGCTTTTCGAAGATGCAAGGGACAACGATTTTTACGGTATCCAAGACACTCTCGAGATTCGATCGAGGATGGTGCGAGTCTGCATCGAGGCTAAACAAGCCGAGAGAGCAGATTTGCTCATGGAGGAACTTATATCTATATACCCAAAAGCTCAAACTGATATCAAGATCCTCGGCCAATTCACCCTCCAAAACGCCAAGCAGGGGAACTGGGCCGGAGTCTTCAGCGAATTTGAGGCGATGAGGACGGTGCAAACGGCCAACCCTCACAACGAACGGCACTTTAGTCGCGTATTTGCGGCCGTACTAGAGACTTATGCGAAGACTCACACGTGGGGCGAGGTTGAGACTTTCATGGAAACGTACATCTCGGAATTCGGATTAGGCCTTGACCGCCACCTGGTCACATTCATTGCCGACAGACATGCAAAATGTCGCGACACGCTGGCGCTGAAGCGATGGCTGGTATTCTGTATGGATTCCGGGTACACCGCCGATAGCAAATTCTGGACCGCAATGTTGGTCAGTTGCCGCAGAAACTGGAAGTATAACGACAAACAGCTGTCCGACCTATACCATGCCATGAAAGGTGCTGGCATCAGCACCGCCTTCCCTGGCCTCGACCAATGTTACAAGAACCTTACGAATACAACAATTCCACGAGCCAAACAAGTCCGGTTGAGAGCTTACATGGCAAGCCCTGCCCACGAGGTGGGTGCCTTCGAATCCATGAGAGCGGATGCACAGATTGGGAGGTGGAATAGTGTGCTGGCCCTTTACAAGCGTGCGTTGCACAACGGCATGGGACACACGAGTCGTTGTCTCAAGTTGGCAGTCAGAGCTGTCGTTGAAACCGAAGGCCCTCGTAGTAGGCAGGCAGTGGCACTCCTGAGTAGTGCGCAGTCCGAAGGTTGCGACACCAACGAGGCCATGTATCCCATCGTTCACGGCCAACTCGCCGAAATCGAGGAGCGCCGCGCCGGAATGGCGGGTGAAGACGGTCGAAGTATGGTCTATCCTGAGATGAAGGCCGTCTTTGACGACCTCCGCCTCAAAGACATCCACATCGATGACGGCCTGTTCAACCGCGCCGCCCGCATCTGCGAGAAATTCCGCAACTACCGGGAGATGATTCGATTCTGCATCATCGCGGCCGAAGTCAACGGTCGCGGCGACCTCTGCTACAGCGCCCACAACTTCAATAACCTCCTCGCCGCCTACGTGATCCGGCACGAATATGACAAGGTGCGCTGGCTGCTCGCCGAGCTCATGACGCGCCCGTACCGCACCTCTAAGGAGGTCAGGTATCGCCTCTACTGGGCGGTGCAGTACCTCCGGAGGAGCGCCGAGGCTGACAAGGACGAGGCGCTCATCCAGTCTGATATCGAGATCCTGGCTCTCGTCCAGGAGGTCCGCACGGTCTTGAGAAAAGAGAACCTCGACCAAAAGGCAGAGGTCAAGGAGGCCCTCGTTGACGCCATGTCTCATGCCTCTTCTAAACCCAAGAGCACCAACAAGGCTGATAGTCTCGCACCGGCGGCCTTTGGACAAGAGCAAGAGTTGTCCACGATGAGCGAGGACGAAGACAATTTTGCCGGTGCGCCTGTGCCTGCGCCTGCTTCCACGCAGCCGACCCTGGTTAGGAGGGTTCAAAGTAAGCGCGAGGTGCCTGTGAATTCCGCGACAAGGCCTCGGGATTCGAACGGGGCCGAGTCGCAGCCAGGCAAGAAAGCGTACTCGTGGAGATCGACTACACTTAGATAAAAGCGGCGGATTGGTGACGAGGGGTGGTTCAGAATGATGTGAGCCTCCCGTGTACTATGCCACGCAACGTTGGATTTCATCAACACCAAGTGGCAAATGAAATATGTATTCATACAAATGTAAGCTTCACGGCGTCGATAGATATACATGTACAAAACTAGCCAACATAGAATGCATATTCAACCATAGACCAACGGGGCCAGTGACGACATAATTTTGTGCTGCGTATATGTTGCGCAAAAGTGTATCCCCAGAGGCGAGAACAGATGATGCTGAATCTGCGCCGCATGAAAACAATGGGCATTCCGGAATCTAGACCTATGCTAATAGTCCCCTACCCAATCTCCTGGTCATGCGGTTCTGGCAAAATTCTTTCGATACAGCTCCCTACAGAGACCGAGCTAAAGTATGTCGTTATTGGATGTAATCCCATCTATCACAAGTTTGCTTCTGGCATTCTTGCTTGTACACAAGCGCCACATCAAATCACAACGGCAGAGACCTCGAAAAAATTGGTTAAATCCAAATTGGTATTTGCTCAGAGATGGGTTTGGAACGGTACGCGCCCGAGTGCAAGATAAAGCCTTGTAGAAACAGGCTCACCGGCCCGCAAAGAGGCCCGGCGTCGAAGCAAGAAAACTTCAACAGGATATGGTACACGATGCTACTTTGGCAATTCCAGCCCGCAGAGCCCAATATACCACGATGGGACTTGTCCTCTTTTCTTCTTTCTCCCTCCGTACTCGCGTTCTCTCCCATCACCACCAATGGCGCCGCCACAAGAGGTGGAGGAAGGGAGGTCCTTTCTGCTGTCGGCGCACTCTCTGGCTCTAGCTAGTTCTGGTTACTCTTCTCGATTTCCCATGTCGTGAACTGTGATAATAACGCCTCACCGCCCCCAAACTCGCCGATCCTTAATTAAAGCATGATGGAAACAGTCATCGCCAATCGT